ACCTCACTTTTGCCTACATGATATAATGTAGCCAAAAAATGTCATACTATTTGGTTAGCATTATTTCATAAAAAAATAATATAAAAATGTAGAATATATCAAAACAAAAACTCACACCTTTTTTCATAGTCATACATATAAATTTTAATTGAAATCATATTATTTACTTCTTTTTCAAAATTTTATTTATGCATCACAAATATAAAATTCAATAAAAAACAAACAAAAAATATCAGTCTAAAGTACATGATTATGATATACTACAGGTAACAGCCTCTAAAAAACCAACAAATTTTTCATAAATTTTCCTTTTTTCTATAAAATTTTTTTTCATTAATTTTCATATTGTTGTTTTACAATAAAATAAATAATTGTTTAATTTTTTTTTATTTTTTTTATAAATTATTTAATTAGAATTTATTTCTGTAGTTTGTACTAAATGAGTACAGTTGGAGTTCTTCTGTTTCCATAGCATTACAAATGTTTATTTTTATAGTTTTTGTTGTGCATTTTTGTTTTGAAATTCCCTATAAAATTTTACATTTGTAATGTTGGAATAACATTTGGATTTGATACTGTATTCTGTTTATATAATATTGATGTTGTAAACACCTTTTTATATAGAGAAATATTCCAATTCCAATAATTTTACACCCTTTTTGAAAAATGTTTAATTTGAGTAAATAGAATTTGTTTTTATTATTGTATAATTTTATGCCGTCTACTTGATCATGGTAACTTCCCTTGTAGAATTACAGATCATAGAATTACGATTCTAGACTTAGAGGAAACACCTAGAAACGATTGGCTTGTATCCAATAGACTGTTTTATTGTTGTAAAGTTTTGAACGATGAGTCCAAGATGGCTAAGTGTATGTGCTCTTAGAGCAATGTCATTTCTGTATTACAATAATATAAAAATTCTATTTACTCTCAAAAAATATAATAATAATAATGTTTGTGTGTATTAATTTTATAAATTTTCATTTAAATATTGCTAATGCAATTAATTTCCTTTAACCAAATCTGTGGTAGCAAAGAAAAAGGACATAACTCAAGTTATGAACTCTATTCAACATTGTAATCCCAAAACTTCTCCCTTGCCGCAACAATCTCCCATGTAATGCAGGCTATGGGCCAGGTTTTTTTAAATAAATATCTGCATGACAAAGAACTACATATCATGTACACCGATAATGTTTACAGGGGAGTAGTTAGATAGATTAGATGATAGATAGATAGATAGATAGATAGATAGATAGATGATATAGATAGATAGATAGATATAGATAGATAGATAGATAGATAGATAGATAGATAGATAGATAGATGATAGATAGATAGATAGATAATAGATCTCTCGATCCTCGCTCGCTCGCTCGCTCGCTCGCTCGCTCTCGCTCGCTCGCTCCTCGCTCGCTCGCTCCTCGCTCGCTCGCTCGGTCGCTCGCTCTCTCGCTCGCTCGCTCGCTCGCTCGCTCGCTCGCTCGCTGCTCGCTCGCTCGCTCGCTCGCTCGCTCGCTCGCTCGCTCGCTCGCTCTCGCTCGCTCCCTCGCTCGCTCTCTCTCGCTCGCTCGCTCGCTCGCTCGCTCGCTCGCTCGCTCGCTCGCTCGCTCTCGCTCGCTCGCTCGCTCGCTCGCTCGCTCGCTCGCTCGCTCGCGCTCGCTCGCTCGCTCGCTCGCTCGCTCGCTCGCTCTCTCGCTCGCTCGCTCGCTCGCTCGCTCTCTATCTTGTGCTTTCCTCCTTTTGCTTTGCCTCCCCTCCCGGCTTCTTCCACTCTCTTGTTTTTACTTTTTCTTTGATGCCACAGACTAGATTTAGTTAGTTTTTGTTACTATTCCATTATTTTCTATATTACATTTTTAATTCTTCTTCGTATTTAGACAAACTGTTTTTACTAATCAATAAAATAATAATTAAAAAAATCATACAATTATGTTTAATTTTACAGGTAACATTAGAAGAACAAATGATATGTGGTGCTTTACAGACGCTAAACGAGGATGCATTTGAAGATGTGGCCAGCAGTGAGAGACCGAGTCCATCCGGTTTGCCAACAGGTGAGATGATAGCTGCAGCCGCACAACTGCATTTAGCACCCATACGAGAATCATCGGAATTCGGTTCACCATCCGATGAGCAAAAATTCAATAACAATTTACTACCATATAGTTCGAACAACAACAACAATAATAATAATAATAACAATAACAATAGCAATAATTTTAATACAACTACACAGCAAATGCAAAACAAACAGGCCACTAACGCTACCACCGTTAGCTACAATCGAAGTGCCAGCTCCAATTCATTACATAGTTTAAGTGGAAGTATTTATATGGGTAATGGTTTAAATAATAGCACGATTACTACTAATAACACTGTAAATATGGTTGCTGGTATTGGTAGTATTAGTGGTGGCATAGGTATGGGTGGTAGTGGTAATAATTTACGTCATAGCATTGGTGATGGTGCCCATTTATTATCAGCTTCTAATGTAACAGCTACTACAGCAGGCGGTGTTGGTGTTAGAGGTTTGGCTCAACGTCATCACTCGGTAGGTGATGATTTGTTGTGTCAACCCTTTACACCCCAACTACGCACATCATCCAATTCTAATTCTGGTATACCCACCGTGGTTGTGATACCCAATACAAATGGTGATCAGGCCACCACACATCATATTGTTGATGACACTAGATTATAGAATTTAAATTGGTTGGGTAAAGGTTGGTTTCAGTTATGATAATTAATCATGCTGGACACTCTCTCTTCAACACACACAAACAAAAACACCCTACAACATATCTTAGTAGCAAACAATTAAATATGTTTTTTCTAAACCTAAAAGCAAACAGAAGAAGAAATTTACTTAAAAACTTTATACACTAACTACTATATAGAATTTATAAAAAAGACATTACAACAATTTTGTAACAAATCCATTTAACAGGGTCTCTTATTAGGCTTAACAACATTTTAGTCTTGTACAGCCTATATTTAGGCTTTAGAGCAACATTGTTTTTAAAACAGAGATCTATTAGTTAACCCTAAAAATATTTAACGATTTTACTTAAAGTATATAAGTAATACATAAAAAATTAAAGAAAATAGATTACAGGCAATACAAAAAGTATTTTACAAATAGTTTAACATATGGTTATATAAAACATTTAAAATCATTATAATATATATACCTACATCTTTATTTATTTCTATATACTATTCCTATGTTAATTAGTTTCTGAAATATTTAACTGAATTTAAATTTCTATTATATAACATACAGTATTATATTTATCAATACTCAATCTTTGTATAAATCTTCTTCGAAATCCATAGTTTCATGGCTTTTTTTTACAAAAGTTATATTTAAAATAATATATATTTATTTAGGCACACAAATTTAGGAACATCTATACACCCAAATTGACAAATTCATGTAGTTCAGGTATCATTTTACCGTTTAAGATCAAACTGAAATACATATCACTTTTGTATTGTTTTCGAAAATCTTCTCAAGGGCATATAAAAAGTCACATATTCCGATCAACACATTCGTTTTACTTTATCTGAAGAAACTTTTTGGCAGAATGATATATTCAGTGGAATTATTAAGTAGAGCGTGATTTGAACTGTTGCTTTTGACATTTTTAGGTCGGTCTGTTCTGATAATGATAATCTACATTATTTGTACCTAGTTTAATCTAAATTTTGTGATTTCCAGTAAACGGTTATATATTGTTGTAACAGTTCGACTGTGGCCGATAGTTCTTTCCTGGGGAAAAAACTTTCGGTTGATACAGCTGTCGCTGGGTTGACAATCTTTGGCCCAGTATGACTCGGGTCGTTCCGGAGCGAAGATCCAATTGTCGTGGGAACGCTTACGGTTATATTGTTTAACTTGGTTTGAACTTAAGTTAGAAATGGGAATAACGAAATCAACAAAAACAATAAAATAATCAATTCGAAAAAAGAAAAGCTTAATATTTGAAGTAAATAGTAATTTTTTGATTTGTTTTAACTATATTATTAATGCTTTTAATGTTCATTTTTGTTTTTTCTAAAATTTTTCATTATCCAAATGTATTTGCAAAAACGGCTGTTTATTGTTTATGTTTTTGACTGAAAAGTTGGCAATACTAACAAAGCTAACTGATCTTAAATCAAAAATACAATTATCACTTAAAATCCGCCTAAATTTGTTCCGAGTTTAATCAAACAGCAAGTTAGGCCATATTTAACTGAGTATTAAGAACCCCCCCCCCCTTAGGTTTAGAAAGGTTATGCTCCATAAAAAAGTGCAACTACACTCGAAGATCATTATGTCCATTGTGATTTCCTTCATAGAGTGTGAAAATCCAAAGATAGGGAAACAAAACACCAACAGAAAACAAAAAGAAAGAGTGAATAGAGGAATAAAAAAGGTGTTTTCCCAAAGGGTTTCTAACTCGAAGTTTTAACCGAATAGATTCCCTTATAACGAATTATGAGAGAATCTGAGTCTCCCTATTAAACAAAATATATACTACGAGAGCTGAGTCAAGCGATTTCCCCCAGTTGATCATTCCCCAGTCATTTCAACCTAATACACAAATTACGTGCTCATACGCCTCCAGTTCCTTCGCATCATCGCATATCCTGCAATAGCGTATTACTGGCAAAGGCCCCATAAAGATCCTTGTCAGAATCCTTCTACTGTGTCTATCCAGTCCTATAAGTATCTGGATAGCCCTCATATCAAGTGTTGACCATAAGGTCTTTGATATTTTGCAATCGATTCTACTGTTCCAGGTCTGGTTGATGATGTCATGGGTTCTGTCGAAAATCAACCTATAACAGTGACAGATGGGTGGTTTTTCTCTTCTATGCCTAACCTCATTAAAATGTACGCTGCAGTGTTCTGGCACCCAATTCAGTCTAATCGTAAACAGTCTCATAATGTTCCTAAGAGCATTTCTACAATCTACAATTCAGCTCGAATATATCGTATGACATGTCAATGCTCTTAAGAAACCTGCCCTTACTCAGACCAATAAACTAAAGCAATGATGTCCAAACGCTTATGCCGAAGATGCTGAGCAGCTAGAAAATTGATTAAGCATATAATGTACCACTGTCCTAGAATACGGGGTCTCAAGGAGATATGGCTAGAGATGAATGGGAAACTGGGTTATATTACTGAATGCAATCCATGCAGAGTATTGTGTTTTATCAGGGGAATTAAGCGTATTTTCGTTTGAAGGCTACAATAGATTCTGTATCACATTCCCAGCAAAAAATAATTGATGTCATACTTTACAAACGACATCTTAATCACATCTAAAAATGCGATTGCATATTTTTCGCTTCTATAAACCAAATATTTCCTTACAAATAAAAACCGCGTTAAAAGTGAGGAAAGAGATGTTGAAAAGTCACTACAAATAACATATTCGAAGTACATCAAATTTTGGTGAAAATGCAATGAAATTTCCATAAGCGTGTCATTGAAAGAATGTAGTTTATTTTTGACATCCAAATATCGGATTTTTACTGCATCTATGAATAAGATTAGATGTAGTTCAAAGTTGTCAAAAATGAACAACATCCCTCCAATGACACGCTAATGTAAAATTCATAGGTTTTTCACCAAAATTGGAAGTACTTCAAGTATGTTATTTGTGGTGAAAATTCTCCTTTTTTTTTCATCACTTTTTTTGCTGGGTTACTTTCTTGATATGAATCTGACAACTTTCTTCTATGTTTATCTAGTTTTAAATAAAGTTTATATATTTATTAAAACTTTTAATAAATATATAAACTAAGTCGAGAAAAATACGATCATTATGTTTCAATACGACAGTTTGGATCATGCTTTATTTTTAAAACTAGCGAAAAAAGCTTTTAATTATCATTCTGCCAGCCTGTTCTATTAAAAATTCTTCAATTTAGTAAAACAAAAGGGTTTATTTACACTGTTTTTTTAAAACACTCGCAATTATTTTTTCATATTTTCTAATATTTTTAATATTAATTTATTTTATTTATTATATATTTTCTCGTTTTTTTTGGCTTCAGTCTTTGTATGCACTCTAATTGGTTTGTATTAATTCAAGAAAATCCCTTTTTAAAGAAAAAAAAAACTATTTTGCTAAATCCTTTTTGTTTCGGCTTAAACTAATTTGCGGAAACTTTTTATAATATTTTCTTTACACTTGATTTTTCTTTATAATTTTTAAAAGCTTTTTTTTAATATTTTACATTAAATTGTATGTTACTAATTCATGTCTGTAGGTATAAATATATTATCTAAAAGAACAAAAACTAAAAATTTATAAAATAAAAGAAAAACATAAATCGAATCGCGTGAAAAAAAAAAGAAAAGTTTAGAATAATAATCAAAATATAGAGAAACTGATATAAAAAGAATGCATGTAACGCATAATTTTACTAATAATGGCTATTGTGGTAAAAGTTATAATGTTAAAATTAAACAAAAAAAAAATGCAAAAAAAAATGAATAATAATTGTAAGGTATTTAAGTAATAAACAAATAAATGCTATTCTTTTAATGCAAGCGAATAAAAATAAACAACTTTTGGCGTTTTTTCTGGTTATATTTTATTAATTTCATATTCTACTAAAAAAAATGCTTTATTTCATACCTTTTAACTTTGGTGTTTACTTTTTTTTTATATAAAAATCCACCTGTTATCGGTTGAAATTTTCTTAATTTTGCATGATTTCTATCAATATTTTGATTTTATTGGGATTTTATAGGTAAAACATCACACATAACAAAATTATCATTAATGTCATATATTAGTATTAAGTGGTATTTTATTCATGTATCTATTTATCAGCAAGACTGTTTATATTAAATTCCTTTTAATATTTGTATTCAAGTATTCTTAGTTGTTAGAATATGTCATTTGTCACCTGTCACATTTTGTATATGATTAATCTCACCATTACAAATACATACTATTTATGAGTATAAAAGTTCATGTAAACACTATTTACTTTTCATAAATGTCATAGAAAATTGATTAAGCATATAATGTACCACTGTCCTAGAATACGGGGTCTCAAGGAGATATGGCTAGAGATGAATGGGAAACTGGGTTATATTACTGAATGCAATCCAAGCAGAGTATTGTGTTTTATCAGAGGAATTAACCGTATTTTCGTTTGAAGGCTACAATAGATTCTGTATCACATTCCCAGCAAAAAATAATTGATGTCATACTTTACAAACGACATCTTAATCACATCTAAAAATGCGATTGCATATTTTTCGCTTCTACCCAGCAAAAAAAGTGTGGAAAAAGATGTAGAATTTTCATCACAACTAGTAACCCGAAGTGCTTCAAATTCGGGTGTAAAACCTATGAATTTTACATTTGCGTGTCATTGGAGGGATGTTGTTCATTTTTGGCAACTTTGAACTACATCTAATCTTATTTTTAGAAGCAGTAAAAATCCGATATTTGGATGTCAAAAATAAAACACATTCTCTTAATGACACGCTTATGTAAATTTCACTACTCTTTCACCAAATCTTGATGTACTTCAAATATGTCATTTGTAATGACTTTTCCACATCTCTTTCCTCACTTTTAACTGGGGTTTCATTTTCATAAATGTCATATAATTATACCCTACACCACTTTAGTGGGGAGGGTATATTGGATTTGTGCTGATGTTTGTAACATACAAAAATATTCGTCCTAGACCCACCTTAAAGTATACCAATCGGCTTAGAATCGTTTTCTGAGTCGATTAAGCTATGTCCGTCCGTCTGGCTGGCTGGCTGCCCATGTAAACCTTGTGCGCAAGGTACAGATCGCAATTTTCAAGATAATTGGATATAAATTTGGCATGCACGTTTTATTTGACCCAAGGACGAAGCCTATTGAAAATGGTTAAAATCGGTCCATTATTTCACCTAGCCCCCTTAGAACAGAATCCCCCGAAAAGGGCTTCTGAGCTCATAATTATGTTAAATATACAGATATATCGATAAAATACGGCACAACTAAGTTTTATAGAATTCTTGATGACCCTGCCAAATTTCATAAAGATCGGGCCCCATTTGACCCTAGCTCCCATACAAAGTCCCCTTCAGAAAATTACTTGAATGTCCCAAATTAACTTATAAACACAAATATCGCGATGAAATTCAGCACAATAAAATATTATGTAAATATAAATATATTCACAAAATTTTATCGGGCTTGGTCCATATTTGCCCCTAGCCCCCATATAAAGCCTCTTTCAGAAAATTAGTTTTTCATCCATAAATTGCTTAAATGTATCGGAACAAGGGAATATTGAAAATAAATGCTTTACTATGAAAAATAAATCACATTTAATATTCATAACTGGTGTAGGGTATCATATGGTCGGCCTCGCCCGACTATACTTTCTTACTTGTTTTTATAATGAAAATAAGATCTCATTGGGCGCAATATTTTTTCTGGTTTTGTTAATGTTTTTTAAGTACTAATAGCAACTATGTATGTAGAATCTCAAAGATCTTTTGATTCCGCTGAAAAATATAACTATTAGGGATTTCCTTATAGAGCTCAGGGTTCAGGACTTTTTGGATTGGATTGTCTGCATGCTTAGCGGCAGAATTATGAAATCGAAACTAGAAGGTGTTTTATCGCCTCTTTGGTGGCTACTAACGGTATCCTAAGGCTATTTGAATCTTAAGTTAGGAAGATCGTTGCCTATGCAGATTATTGGTCAAAGAAAAATTCCTATGCACGATTAGTGATATCATGGAGACTGCACTAAGTGAACTCTAGTTATAGGCGAGAACTAAAGGACTGGGGGTAAATCCTGGGAAAACGGAACTGGTATTATTTACCAGAAGGTATAAGGTAAAGTACTACAGGCTGCCAAAGTTAGATGGCGTCGAGTTTATCTAGAGGAGCTCAGTATTCATAGACTTAATAAGAAGATTTCATGGAAAGAAAATAATCATTAATGACTAAAAAAGATACTCAATAGAAAAGAAATGGTAAATTGGTTTTAAAAATCGGTTGTTAGGTCTCTTCTAAATTATGGTTGCATTGTCTAGTAGGAGGCTTAGATAAATAATAGTTGAAAATAGCTCAAAAGTGTTGGCTCTTTTGGCATTACTAGTGCCATTAGTAGTACTCCACAAGCGGCCTTGGTCATCATTCTGTAGCTGTCACCTAAAGAACATTTTGTTGCTGGACTCTATGAGTCTTCGTTATTTAAACCTTCAAGAGACGATTTACAAAAATATGTACGAAGTAGGTCTACTTGATCATGTTAACTCCTTTTGCATAAAAAAGGCTCCCTGGTGAATGTACGATCTTCCAGCCTATTTTATATCTGTGCAGTTTTCAGCTACGGGTACAACATAGATACCAGCACGAATGACGCTGTCTAAATGTAGTTGTTGCTGTTGTTGCCTATTGAAGTAGTCCAATTTCTTGGCTTGAACCTAAATACAGAACCCCCGGATTAAAAATTGTATAGTTAAAGCTGTTACAACAAATACAACAACGCTGTCTACATCACTGATATCCATATGTGAATGTAGTGTCTTCCAAACATAGATCCTAGAGATATGGAAAGCGACGAAACTGATTCGATATCATAACGATCTGATAAGATTGCCCTGTTAACATCCGTATAAGAACCCTTATCCAGTTCTATAAGTATCTTGGTAGCTCTCACATCAAGTTTTGGCCATAAGGCCTTTGATATTTTAAAATTCGTCCTACTATTCTGGGATTGGTTGAACTTATTCTCACATACTTATGCCAACCTGTAATAGTGAAAGATGGATAGTTTTACCATATATATCAAGGTCCGAACTTAAGCTAGCTAATTCGTCTGCAACTTCACTACCAAGCACATTTAGCATAGGGAATTTCCACAATTTAGAACCAGAAAAGAATGTGAATATACCGTATGACATACCAATACTCAAAGAGCAGCTTGACTATCGACATAAATTGTCACAACCGACCCTAGATCGTTATGATATTTTGCAATTCATTCTACTATTCCAGCACTGGTTTATGTTTTCATGGATTCTCTTGAAAATTAACTTATAATAGTGACAGATGGTTGGTCTCACACTTCTTTCCCTATCATCTATGTCAAGGTTCGAACCTAATCAAGTTAGTTCGTCGCCAACCTCGTTACCATGCACATTGCAGTGCCCCGGCACCCAACACAGTCTAATAGTAAACTGTCTCATAATGTCCCAAAGAGCATTTCTACAATCTACAACCAAAAGCGAATGTACCGTATGCCAGGTCAGTGCTCTAGGAGCAGCTTGACAATCGACCTAAAAACCTAAATTTTATAAAAATGCGGATCTTTATATATAACTAGGACTGATTTTGAAACAGTGATCTTTGACGCTAGTACATAGGACCGAATAACAAAAAATAGTGCTTGAGTTACCCTTCTCATTCTCAGTTTTAGCCTTGATCGATGAGCTTGATCGTTTTCCAAAAAATATTCTAAGGGGAAATAATTTTACATTTCTATTTCAAAATCATGATCTCGGCTTCATAAAAACTTTGTCTTATTCTATGATGATGCCCAGGGATGGAAAATGACTCGGCTAATTTACATTAGTGTGAAGTTTAGACCAGTTGGAAATTGTTAACTTCGAAAGTGGTCCTGTGAAAGCGTTATGGACTTAGGGGAGCTTTAAATACTATACAGATCTACTTTTCAAGGAATCAATTCTTCGACAATATCAATATACAACATTTTTTAATAGTTGGTATAAAAATATGGAAGTTTATAATTAGATGAAGAATTTGCTTTCCATTTGATATGAATATTAACATGGATATTATCTTATTCCAATAGAAGTTCGAATATTAGAAAATCGTTTAGTTTTTGTGTTAAGTTTTAAAAATTTCGACAATAAATGAAAATTATGACTCATATTCGTGAATGAAAAAAAGAATTAGATATAATAAACCATTCCAAAAAGGTAAGATTAACCAATAGGAAATTCCAACATCTTTCCATTCATTATCTATAATTTAATTTTATATTATAACTAAAACTATTTGCTAACTACTGTATTTGTAACTACTATTTTATGTACTTATATGTGTCTTTTTCTTTTCTCTATATACATATGTATGTACATTTCTATTTTCCACCTTTTTTGTTCCAACTAAATCTATCCACTTTTTTCCCTCTATATGCGCAATTTCATTACAGATCATGAATTACAAGGACCACCTACGGTACTTTCATCTACTCTAATAAATACTAATCTAATGCCACCATCATCACCCGTACAAACACGTAGAGATTCGATACTTAAACAGCAGGGTAGTGTTAAAACCGAAAAGCGAGTATCGATCAAACATACGAACAGTAATTCAAAGTTATCGTCGTCATCCAATATAGAATATGTATCGGAAAAATCGAATGATGCAGCGGCAACAAGCTCTTTAGGCAATGGTAAAAAAAGACAAGGAAAACCACCATCGGGTAAGTTATATTTACTTAAAATTTATATGATATTTTTTTTTTCAATAAAAACTTCATTTCCCCATTTAAGGTCCCCGTCCCGCCTCTTTGGTTATAACTAAAAATGAGGGTAATTCACAATTTAAATTGGTGCGATCATCATCGATTGACTATGATGATATTGAATCACAACAACATACCGCCAACATACAAAGACCAATAAATCGTACAACACTTTTGGAGCAATTGCAGGAAGATGAATCGGCTCCATTGGTATTCACCGTACACAAGTGACATTTCATATCATATCGTGTTGTGTGTTTTGTTTCTAATAGTTGCGGCATATTTATACGTATAATTTAAGACAATTTTATATAGACATATAGTTTTAAAGATATCGGCTAAAAAGGGAATCTACATGTTGATGATTTAATGGAGAAAAGGCATATTTCCTGGAGTCTTGTGTTTATTAAATATAATTTTTAAATATGGAAGAAAGGTCAAAGGAAAACAACCCAGGAATGGAAAATTCAGTACTATTGTACTTTTATCAATCTATGGACCAGTCTATTGACCAACATATGTACAAGTTTATGGTCTATTCTATGTACATACTTGCTTATGGACTGTACTGTGGTATATTCTATGGATTAATCTGTTGACTACTACATAGTCTATTGGTATAGTTATTGATTTATCTATAAACTATTTGGACTAGAATGTTGCCTAGTTTATCGATTGACTAATATGATTACTCTAGTCTATTGGTCTTTGGACTAGACTATTGAACAGTCTATAAACTATTCCATTGACTAGTCTATGGACTTGACTATTTACTATTTATGGACTAGTCTATTTACTAGTTTACTGACTAGTCTTTGGATTAAACTCTTGATTAGATTATGAACTATTCTATGGAAAAGTCTCTGGACTAGTCTATTGATCAATTTATAGACTCTTCTACTGACTAGTCTATGAATTAGTCTATGGTCTATTCTATTGATTATTCTATGGACTTGTCTATGGATTAATGTAGTCTATAGACTAATCTATAGATTAGTCCATTTACTACTTTATTTACTATTTTATAGACTAGTCTATGGACTAGTCCATTGACCAGTCTATATACTAGTCTATGGACTTGTCAATGGATTAGTCTATGTTCTAGTCTATAGACTAATCAACAATATATCGACTACTCTATGGATGAGTCTATAGACTGTTCTATGATCTCGTCTAAGGGTAAAAAAACATTTGTTGTTCCATTGTTATATATTTCCCCAGTCCATGTTTTCCTTTTTATCCGCCTTGTGTGTACAATTGTTTTTTGTTTAAGAAACCAATTACCTTAATAGTACTTATAAAAATAATACAATGTAATTACATAAATATGAATTTTAAGACTTAAATTTAAAAAAAAAATTGAGCAGTAAACAACAATAAATTATTAAACGGAATTGATCAAATGTTTAAATTATTTTTTTTTCCTCACAACAACAAACATATGCTGCTCAAAATTTTATTTTCAGTTTTAATTAAACTTAATTGTTTTCAGGAGTTTTCTTTGTTTTAGAAACAAAAAACCAACAAAAGTATACAACATGTTTACACACTTATATATTATAGATTTATTAGAGAATTGATACAAATATATATATATTTTCGAATATTTTATGTATTTATATACTTAAAAACACTGTTAATTAAATATATTGTTTCAACAAAAAAAAAAAAAAAATAATAAAACTTAAAAAAAACATAAATTTATTTAATTTAAAAAAATAATATTAGTATTTGCGTAAAGATTCAAGGCCTTTCACTTGATTTATTGCTTTGTAAGATAGTTATTATATGTATGTTGTGTATATACAAATAACAAGAAATTATTTTCAAAATTATTTTGAAAATATGTATTTATTAAATAAAAATTCAACTTTATTTTGTTTTAAACAAAATTAGTTCGTTTAACTCTTTTTGGTATAATGTCTACAAATTTGGAATAAGAAATCAGGTAATGACTAGATGCCATACAAATGGTCAATATTAGACTTTATTAAATACGATGCATTTCACCCAACATATCATATAGCTAGCTGATCATCAATGTCAAAATAAGTTCAAAAAGTTTGAAATTTTCTTTTTATAAAAAATTTTTGGTAAATGTCTCTTTATAGAAAAATTTCAAAATATTCTCTTTTATTAATTTTAAAAATTTATTTATTTATTTTATTTTTATTTTTATTTATTCATTGAAGTAATACAAAGCCTATTCGAAAATTTCTCTTTTTTATAGAAAATCTTGAAAAATTTCTACTTTCTATAGAAAATTTACCAAAAATTCCCTTTTCTATTTTCTAAAATTTCTCATTTCTATAGAATATTTTCGAAATTTTTTTCTATAGAATATTTTCTACGGAAAATATAGAAACATTTTGAAATTTTTCTTTAAAATTCCTCTTTTCTGTAGTAAAATTTCGAAATTTTCTATTTTCTGGAATAAAAATTCGAAATTTTCTCTTTTCTATAAAAAAAATTTCGAAATTCTTTTATTTTCTATAAAAAAAAAAATTTCGAAATTTTCTCTTTTCTATAGAAAAATTTCGAAATTTTATTTTTTTTATAGGAAATTTTCGAAATTTCACTCTTTTCTATAGGAAAATTTTCAACATTTTCTATTTTTTCAAAATTTCACTATTTTTAGAAAATTTTCAAAATTTCTCGTTTTTTTTCTATAGGAAAATTTCGAAATTTTCTATTTTCTATAGAAAAATTTCGAAATTTTCTATTTTCTATAGAAAAATTTCGAAATTTTCTATTTTCTAGAATAAAAATTCAATATTTTCTCTTTTCTATAAAAAAAAAATTTCGAAATTTTCTCTTTTCTATAAAAAAAAAAATTGCAAATTTTTTTCTTTTCTATAAAAAAAATTTCCAAATTTTCTCTTTTCTATAGAAGAATTTCGAAATTTTATTTTTTTATAGGAAATTTTCGAAATTTCACTCTTTTCTATAGGAAATTTTTCAACATTTTCTCTTTTTTCAAAATTTCACTATTTTTAGAAAATTTTCAAAATTTCTCGTTTTTATAGCAATTTTTTTTCCATTTCCGAAATTTCTCTACTTTATATAAAATTTTCGTAAAAAATTTCTCATTTCTATAGAATATTTTCGAAATTTTTTTCTATAGAATATTTTCTACGGAAAATATAGAAACATTTTGAAATTTTTCTTTCAAATTCCTCTTTTCTATAGAAAAATTTCGAAATTTTCTCTTTTCTATAGGAAAATTTCGAAATTTTCTATTTTCTATAGGAAAATTTTGAAATTTTCTATTTTCTAGAATAAAAATTCAATATTTTCTCTTTTCTATAAAAAAAATTTCCAAATTTTTTTCTTTTCTATAAAAAAAATTTCCAAATTTTTTTCTTTTCTATAAAAAAAAATTCTAAATTTTCTCTTTTCTATAGAAAAATTTCGAAATTTTATTTTTTTTATAGGAAATTTTCGAAATCTTATTTTTTTATAGGAAATTTTCGAAATTTCACTCTTTTCTATAGGAAAATTTTCAACATTTTCTCTTTTTTTCAAAATTTCACTATTTTTAGAAAATTTTCAAAATTTCTCGTTTTTATAGCAATTTTTTTCCATTTCCGAAATTTCTCTACTTTATATAAAATATTCGTAAAATAATCGTGTTTTATAGAAATTTTTCGTAAATTGTTCGTTTTTTATGGAAAATTTTGGTAAATTTATCGTTTTTTTTAGAAAATTGTAAAAAATGTTCGTAAAATTATCTTTTTTAATAAAAAATTTTCAATAGTTTCTATTTTTTTAGTGAATATTTTCAAAATTTCCTTTTTTAATTTTTTTTTTTATTTTTTTCTTTTCTTTCGAAAAATTTCGGAAATTTATCTTTTTCTGTAGGTGATTTTCAAAAATTTATCATTTTTTACAGAAATTTTTCGAGAATATATCTTTTTTTATAGAAAAATTTTTATAATTAATATTTTCTATTGGAAGTTTTCCATAATTTCTCTTTTTTTGCAGAAAAATTTCGAAAATTTATCTTTTTTTAAAAAAAAAATTTAAATTTCTTATGGAAAATTATCGAAATTTACTCTTCTATCTTTTGAAATATGTAGTTTAGCTTTACATCTTATTTTAATTCATAAAGTCATGGTAACCCTTAAAATAAGCTTTTTTATAAAGTTTTTCTATCTTATTTCACGGTATCTTTAAGATTCATTTTCTTAGTTTCTTATCGTTATTCTTTCATTCGTACACCCATTGACAGTTCACTACAATTTTGTTTAGTTGCAAAATTTTCCGGTTTTGTTTATGTCTACTTTTCGCCGGTATTTTTGATAAACACAACGATTGTGTATATATAATAAATAGTGACGATTTAAGATACAAAATAAAAAAAACTAAAGTCGTCATTAATTTGGGGGACAGAAAAACATGCCGTCACACAAAATAAATAAACGAAAAGCACAACATGTAGAGCAGCAAAAGCGGCCGCATTTAAATAAAAACAAACCACTGAAACAGCTGTTTAGTTTACTTTTCTGTAAGCGAACGAGTGGTTGGTTAGTGTTTGGCCCCAAAACATACAAGTGATTCTCGTACTGAGTATATTATGAAAAAGAGGGAATAAATAAATAAAAAAAAGTTTTCATTCAAAAGGTCACCTTGAAACATTTGAAAAATTATTATTTCACATTCAAAACGATTCCTGCGTACGTCTCAAACACATCGTGATTTAAAGAAAATTTAGGTAATTTAAAAAAGGTTTTTTTTAATAAAATATAATTAAAAAATTAATAATAATTAGTTTGTTAAAAGAAGGAAATTAAATTTCAACATAAACTGGTGATAAATTAATAAAGTGTTTGTCAAAGAAGTTGTTAAAATATCTTAAATATTGTGTATCTACTTATAGAAAAAGTATAAGTATGTGATAATTGTTGGAATGAGTTTGTGAATTTTGTTTAATCACTTGATAATTAAAGACAAATTCAGAAAGATTAAAAATTAGTGAAAATATTTAAAAATTATATTGAAAAAATAACGGGTTTGTGCAATAATCAACTGCATAACCTTACTTTTAAAAACAATGCACTTGATATGTAATGTCAATGTTAATGACAGAAATGTAAAGTAATTATTTCATTGGTGAAATTTTGTAGATGAAGCTAAATTTGCTAAAAAGTTTAAAATTATATAGTTATTGATTTACCGTTTGTGGTTAGTGTATCCGATATTATTTTAAGTTAAATTTAACAAGAAAAACCAGAAAAGTTTAAAATCGTTTCGATAAGGCGAAAAGGTAACGGTAAGGCTCATTCCCATTATTTCAATAAAGATAGTGAGAACAGTGTCTTAATAAAACACTGCTGGCAGTTTTAAAATTTTGGAAATAAAGCAGATCCGACTGAAATGTAATTTTCAAGGTTGGCAACTGTTTTCAAACAAAAAAATACCGGTGTTAGTATTAAAATATAAAATAACGGTAACGATATTTTTGTTTATTTTAATAACGGCATTTTAACGGTAACGGTCGAACAACTTTACGTGTATTTTAGAGCTAATGGCAGCTTAGCGGTATCAGTTTTCAAAAGTAATAATAACTAAAGAAAAAATAAATTATTTTAACATAATTATAAAATAACGGTAACAACGGTATTTCAGAGATAACGGTACTTTTGTTTATTTCAATATCGACATTTTAGCTGTAACGGTAGTAAAACTAAACGTGTATTTCATCGCTAAATATAGCATAGCGTTACCGTTAACGCATCACGGACATTTTATATAGAAAAAACTATTCTTAAAATTATTATAAAACGGTAACGGTAATTTTGGTAAGGGTCCACTTTATGCTTATGGTTTCAGCTGTATCAGCATTTGCCCACCATATCAGTTAGCCTTCAAAATAAAAGTTTAACTTCTGTTACATCTTCATCTTCTTTGAGATGTCTAAACCTAAAGGAAAAAAACGGGTTTTAAAGCTTATTGAATCATGATC